TAAACCATATTTTCGGGGGTAGGAGGATGAAACCAACCTGGTTTAAAAGCAACCCTTCCCCCAAGCACCTCCTGAGCTTCAAGGCTGAGAAAAACCATTGGACAGCAAAGCATTTGTTCCCATTACTCAGGACAGCAATTACAGGGATCTCTTTCACATTTATCAAGAAAGGTCAGGGACAAAGTGGCAATAAAAGCACCTCGAAGGCCTTGAACACCCACTCTCAGCCTTCACCAAACACAAAACAAGACCTTCCACAGGCCAAGGAGATTCCCAAGGTCATTTATTTACACCTGACAGTGTTGTGGGATTATCCTGCCTGAAGCTTCTCCTGCCTTAAAAAATAGCTCATTGGGCTACTGAGCAGCTCGGCAGCATGCAGGCTGTGAAAGCAACATGGGGGCCAGGGGAAGAGGAGATGGGGAGCCTCATCCAGGCTGCCCAGCGGTGAGAGCCAGGCACCAAAATTTATCCTTCACACTCAACCACCAGCATGTTGCTTTAAATTACAAGGTTAAGACAACACAGGCTCAGAGGTGAAACCTGTGGTTTGGGAAATGCGTTGTGAAACCCAGCCCCAGCTGTAAGGCAGAGGGACAGACCCCACTGCAGCAACATCCATGGTTCAACTCAACAGATGTGACAGCTGCAGGAGGAGGCCAAGATGTTAACCACTGGCACAGGGTGCCCAGAGAAGCTGTGGCTGCCCCATCCCTGGCAGCGTTCAAGACCAGGCTGGACACAGGGGCTTGGAGCAACCTGCTCTATTGGAAGGTGTCCCTGCCCGTGGCAGGGGTTTGGAGCTGGATGAGCTTTAAGGTGCCTTCCAACCCAAACCATCCTATGGTTCTATGATAATTAAACACCTTGGTGCACCAAAGGGATCAAGAGTCACCTTACAGCCCAGCCAGTGACTGGTGGAAGCAATCATCCAGCCTACAAAGAGCTACCTGGGATGCTCAGTTCCCAGGAGGAAGGCTCAGCTACGTCTTCCTTCTCCCACACTGCCATGGTGCCTCTGAGAGAGAACACTAACCTCTTCAGAGATTGGACTGCTTGAATCTGCAATCGATAGCTCAGCTTATCAAAGGCTATTTCCTGAGCAAGGGATAACCTTGACAATGCAATCCCTGGTTATAAATGCTACCTTTGATCAATAACTGTCACAAATGCATTAGAATTAATTGTTAAACCTTGTATTTTAAACCACATTTATTGCTTCCTGCATAGCTCATTCTCCACACATCACCAAAGGAAAAGAGAAATATTTTTCTTAGAACATGACATCCATGATTAAATCTCTCCAACACCTTGACAGAGGCCATTGCCCAAGGTCCCCATCTCACCTTGCTCACTGACACAGCCTCTGGAGATCGTTCCCCCACCAGCATCCTGCCCCTCTGGCAAGCACAACCAGGTATTGCTGCTTTAGGGGATTGCTCCCAGGAGTGCTTTGTTATTTGACCTGCTTTAAGGTCTCTTCCAAGCCAAACCAGTCTGGGATTCATGAAACTCTCACAGGATGAACTGACTGTGACTTAAAGTGCTGTCACGTACCAGGTGAGTTGTGTCAAGTCTTTAAATCCCAGCAAGTCTTCCCACACACTGGAGAAGCCAGTGACCAACAACAGTATCCCTGTGAAGGTGATCATCTAATACAGAGTAGTTTCCACCAAAGCTTGATCTTGCAGGCTGCTAGAAACTCTTGGCTAACTCATTTAAGCCCTAACACTTGCTCCTGACTTGGAACGTGTGTAGGTATCTGAAGAGCAGAAAACACTGAGCAAGAGAACATGCCAAATCATCTGTTAGCACCTCAAGGATTCTCATTTAAAACAACCTTTCAACTTTAATTATTTCCTGCATTCAAAAGTATAATAAAGCCATTTGAATTATATTTTATCCCTCGATGTCTGACTATTACAGTTACTGTGGGATGACCCCACTCACAATAGCAGCATAAAAAAAAAAGAGGGATTTTTGCAGTTTTTGTAAGCCATTAACATTTTTATTTCAAAGTCAAATAAAGAGCATTGGAGTCGTGACCAGCTCTAACACCAAACCCACAATTCTGCAGTTTCTTCAGTACCTTGCCTCAAGCCCTTATCTGATTTTCCAAGAGATTAAGAAATCTTGACAGAGCATTTATTGCCCAAGTTAAACTCCCTACAAAACATCACCAGTTTACAAGAGGCGATAAAAACACCACATAGAATGGTTCCAGACACTTTACCTTCAAATGGATGACTACTGTCTAACATTAATGAAAACATAAGATTTTGGGCTACAAAACAAGCTCTGTGTTCCTGGTTTTAAACTGTACCATTTGAACTCTTCCCATTTCAAGCCACCTTGATTTATTTGGGGGATTTGCTCCTCTGTACACCATTATTCACAATGGTATTTATCAAATTAGTGAATTTTAATACAGTGACAAAACTTATCCTGCAGCAACTACAGCCATGATGCTCTAACCTCCCCTTTATTCACATCTGGCAACACCAAGCCCGTAGCTTCTTATTTCTCTCCTCTAGTGCGTCCATCACTGGACATCAGCACCACCTACCCATCATACCCTTATGTGTAAGCTGCTCTCCCTGATAACTTGAGTCTCCCCACCAAGGCTTCCCACAGGAATCCTGTCCCCCAGCTCTCAACCAACAGCGACTTGAAAACTCAGGTGCCAGAGATAATAGATAAGTGTATTTTGTGGATAGATCTAACTACACAGCAATCCAGATCAGGACATGCTCACAGAGCACTGATAGCACGGACCTTCCTGTTCCCTTCTATGCTCACTGCATCTGAAGCTTCTCTGGCAGCTCTCAAGACACAGTCTGGCTGTATCACCCAGCACAGTCATCCCCACACAGACCACCAACTCCTGCTCCTCCAGATGCTCTTATAGCCATGTCCAAAGTCAAGCTCCAGGTCAGTGAGCTCAATAGTCTGACGCCTAAATTTCTTTTTAAAGAAAAAACCCACAAGGCAAAGCTCCCAGAGGAAAGATTTGTTACAAACAACTCCACTCCAAAGGCATCAGGAGTGGGTAAGGAGCTTCATCTACGCTGACACAAGCATCCCTGGCAGCCAGCCAGTGATGGACCTGATCCCAGAGTGACCTGGCTCCAGCACTGTCCCTTCCCCACATGAGCAGCACCTCTGGGACTTTCTTCCTCTTTAAGGAAGCATGCTTCACAATAAATAAAACCAGAATAGCAACGGAGCAAAACAGAGTCCAGACACCTACCAAAACAAACGACAGTGTGCTGCGAACACAATTCAGTCCTTGGAGAGGACAAGAGAAAGAATGAAGCAGGGACAAACATCAGCTGCAGTGTTAAGCACAAGAGGTTAGAACCCAACAGTAACAAGAGGCTTGGAAAATGCCCAATAGTCAGCACTGCCTGGTATGTGTGCACACCATGCAAGCCAGATAAATCACCTATATCAAACATGACTGCATTTTGAGCAGGTTCAAATAAAAAGGCAAAGCCTGTAAAAGAGCATTCTTAAATATATACTGTGTTTCTGCCTGAAAACTTTCAGAAAGGTAGGCTTCCAGGCTTCAGAAAGGAAGGAAACTCCTCTGAAGCACTGAAGGAAAATACAAGTTTCATTGATATTCTTTACCAAAGAAAATCAAAAGATTTCGAAGTCCAATACTGGAAACGACAGTATTGGAAATGGCTTTTCTGTCGTTTTTGGAGGAGAATGGGAGACAGCATCCTTTACCAGCCTCCTGAAGCTAGGCTGTGGAAGTGCATTAAACACCATCAGCCACACATGGGAAAGCCTTTGGCTTTTCCTGAAACCACAGTATCAGAACACTGGGAAAGCCCAAAAATTAGAAGCAAGCACCAAAGGACAGTTAAATAAATCACACTGGGCCATGTTCTCTCTGCAAGTGGCATCTTTCTGATTTATGATGTAGAACGGGAAAAGTTTTGTTTCTTCCAAGTGTTTCTTTATTTAACCCCCACTTCCCAGTTGCACCAGCAGCATTATCAAGCCTTGGTTTCCATAATTTTTGGGAACACAACTTTATCTTGGTGTGGTCAACTGTGCACAGCAAATCCTTTGCTAAGGAAATACAGACACTGGATGTTCACATCCATCTCCTTCAGCTTGACAAGCATCAACTGAGATGACAATATTCACACTGACTAAACCTTTTTTTTCCCTTCCAGGAAACTTCTTGAGAAGTAAATAAGCTTTCACTTATGCCGCTGCAAGGTGAAACCTACAAATGCATTCGGCTACAAAAAAGAGAACCCACAGAAACAATTTCATTTAAGCACCTTTACTTCTAAGCCATAGTTCTAGCGATGCTCTTATCACAGGGGTAAAATCACATTAGGGAGTGAACCTCTATTTTAAAGTTCTACCAAAAGCTTGCTGTATGTTTTTAAGAGGTTCCAGTCTCCCGAAGGCCAGCGGTGGTACGGAAGTGCCTTGCACCCCACACACCAAGCAGGGTTTAACGTGCCCGTGGACACTTTTCAGCCCAGAACAACTCCTCACAGCCCTCCGCCGTGTCACGCAGATGCTATTTATACCCTCGGTAAGAGGCAGCTCAACAAAAAAGCCACAGAATTGAACCTGCTCCTCGGTAACTTCCAGCCAACCGTTCCTGCTTCTCCAGAGGGGAAAAACCCCACCGGGAACTCCGCCTGGCCAGGGCAGCCCCCGCGCCGGCTGTACCCGGCTTCTTCCCCGAGGCGGGCTCCGGCAACCGGGGCGGGAACACTGCGGGATCAGCCCCCTCCTGCCGGGTACTCTCCACAGCCAGCCCCCACCGTGCAGCCGCCCGGACCGGAGCAAGCCAGGCGCGGCCCCCGCCTCGCCGAGCCCCCGCTTCACACAGCCCACGGCTCCGGCCCTGCTGCCGACAGCCCTCCCGCCCCGGCCAGGCCCGCAGAGAGGTGGCCGCTCGTTCCGAGGCCCGCCCGTAGGGGCTGCCGCCACAGAAAGATGCCCCCAAGCCCCCGCCCCGGTACCTCGATCTTGTCGACGCTGCGAGCGCACCCCACCACCTTCATGCCGTGCTGCACCAGCGCCCTCGCCACAGCCGCGCCGATACCGACGGAGGCACCGGTGACCAGCGCGACGCGCCCGGTCCAGCGCTCCATTGCCCCGGCCCGGCCCCGCCGCCGCGCACAATGCACCGCCCGCCCGCCCCGAAGCCACGCCCCCTATACCATAGGCCACGCCTCCGAGGCGGGCGCACGCCCATGACCGCGCCCCCCAACTACCACGCCCCCCGCCTGGCATGCATCGAGTTTGTGAAGCCTCTGTCGGCGGTAGGCGGGGAATGGTCACAAGTAGGTCTGGGTTTGGGGGTTTCCTCCCCAAAACGTTCCCAGTGAGAAGGGGTGTTTTAAACCCAGAACAGCACAAAATGGAGGCATTAATTCCAATCATGAGACAATGCCATAACCACATTCACCAGCACACACAGCAAGGAGGAGAAAGCTGCTTCATTATTTCACAGAAGCCAAAACACATCCAAAAATGCCACACACGTTCTGAAAATTAGATTACATGGTGAACATTTTAACCGTAGATGCCCCATGGCAGAGTGGGTGATGCGTGATGGTCCCTGCTGCTGCAGACAAGATGCTCACACCTATCCACATCCTGAAAACCCAGTCATGGGAAGGACACCAAACAAAGCACACAGAACCAGGCCAAACAAAAACCAAGGCACAGCCATGGGCAATGTGGGAGGGAGGAAAGGCATTTGGTGGGACCAGGGGGCAGAGCTCTGGTGCAGGATGAAGTGGCTTTGTGGAGGGCCTGTTATCCCCAAGGTCCAGGGAGCACATTTAAGTAATTCATGGAAACTTCTGAAGAAACAGATTAATTGAAACAGGAGAGACAAAGGTGCAGCCATCTAATTTATGGAGGAAGAACAGGCTGGGATCCAACAGAATCGTTAGGGTTGGAAAGGACCTTAAGATGATCCAGTTCCAACCCCCTTGCCATGGGCAGGGACACCTCACACTAAACCATGCCACCCAAAGCTCTGTCCAACCTGGCCTTGAACAGCGCCCGGGACGGAGCATTCACAACTTCCCTGGGCAACCCATTCCAGTGCCTCACCACCCTTACAGTAAAGAACTTCCTCCTTATATCCAATCTAAACTTCAATTCTGTATAAGCTCAGCAAAAGCAGCGATCGCTTCAGAAACGCAGCAGCGAACCCTGGCGAGACCTTCACTACCTGCTGTGGGCAAACAGGGAGCTGTAAACATCAGTGTGTGAATAACCAGCCAACTCAGTCCACCCTGTGGGCACTAAGTGCATAGACCTGGAGGAGGATAAACCATAAGTATCTCTTAAATCTAAGGTTTTGGGCATCCAAACCGCACAGGTCTCGAATGGCTGGGGGCAGTTCTTTCACCAAAAGGGTGAAAGAATTGGAACAGGCTGCCCACAGAAGGGGTGGAATCACCATCCCAGTGTTCAAAACCATGCAGACAAAGCCCTTAGTGACATGGGTTAGTGGAATGGTTGGACTTGATGATCTGAAAGCTCTTTTCCAACCAACTTGATTCAACGATTCTATGATTATTAAAAGTCTTGATTCCTAAGTAGCACCCCTAGAGCTGCATGGGCAGCCCATCACTGAAAGTTAAAACATGAAAAGAAGAAAATGCACAGGTACACAGCATCTTTAGGGTTTGTTAGAAACAAAGCAGCAATTGCCTACCTCATCAGGCAAGGGGTTCAGCTCCCCATGATGTGAGGTCCTCAAATGAGCAGCGGCCTGGGTGCTGGACACAGGAGCTGCTGTGGTGAGGAATGTTCTGGAAGGCAGCAGGAGCACTGGTGGGCACTGGCAAAGCCCATGGAATACCCTAAAAGGCAGCAGAACCGCTTGGCAGGCTCTGGCGAAGCCCATGGAGCGCTCTGGAAGGCGGCTGTGGTAAAGCCCGCCATAACTCCGCTGAAGCGACAGGGAGCGGCCGCCTGCCCCGTGAGGGCCCCTTCCCGTTGTACATCGAGCGCGATGCCGGCACAGGCGGTTCCCCGTCAAAAGGGTGACGAAATGATGAGTTACAGGGCACTTTCCCTCACAAAAAGAGCAGAACCGATTAAAATCGGTTAAAACAAACTAAACCGAACACAACCCCGCTGCAGCGGTGTGAGGGCGGGCTTCCCGCCGGTGCCCGTTCCCGCCTCGGCGGCCCCGCCCGCGCAGGACCCGGATGGACCCTACGTGACACGGGAGGGGAGCGGCGGCGGCGGCGGCGGCGGCGGCGGCGGCCGGTGCCCGCTCTGCGGGGCGGGCAGCAGGTGAAGGCGGGCGGGGAGGCGGGGAGGCGATGCCCCCCATCTCTGCCCTGCTCTTTCCTCCGGTCGATGTGGAGCGCGGAAGAGGCGGCGGTGATGGCCCCGGCAGCAGCAAGGTGGTTCCCCCGCGGCCCGGCAGGGGGCATGAGCGCTCGGCGCCGGTACCGGAGCGGCGGGAGGAGCCTGTGAGGTGAAGGGCGGGAAAGCAGCCGCGGCGCTCGGCTGAGGGGAGCGGGAGGTGATCGGGGAGCGGCGGTTTCCAGCGGCCGCTGAGGGAGCGGGGGCTCCTGCACTTCCATGGACCGCGGGCTGGGCGGAGTCACACCATAGAGAGCCAACTCCAGTACCTACAGGTGCTTTGTGGGGTCCCCGATAGTGTTTAGGCTGTTTGAAAGGACTTAGCAAGGTGTTCAGTATTGAGGTGCCTAATTAATGCTTAATTTGATAAGAGAGGTGGCTTAACCACACCTCTGGTTCAGTTTCTGAGCTGTTTTGTGACTGTGCTGCCCTGTCTGTAAATGGAATGGTGGCTTTTCACCTCAGGGGGGTGGAACTGGGAAGCTGCTTCGAGCTCATTGTTAATGCTGTGAAACTGTGTAAGGCGGTAATTGCTGCACCCAGTGAGTACGGCTTGAGTAGCCTTTATACATGGGTTGTTATGTACAAGCTCTTCCCTATGAGGGTGCTGAGGCACTTTCACAGGGTGCCCAGAGAAGCTGTGGCTGCCCCATCCCTGGCAGTGCTCAAGGCCAGGTTGGACACAGGGGCTTGGAGTAAGCTGCTGTAAGGGTTGGGACTGGATGAGCTTTAAGGTCCCTTCCAACCCAAACCATGCCATTATAATTCAATTTACTGCAGCTTGGGGATCTCAGCCCTTTTTCAGGATGGTTCTTTGCCATTCTGACATGGATTCATTAGAATTGACTGAATGCTGTGTCTTTTCCCTCTTTGCTCACACAAGAAAGTCTCTGGAACAATGTTAGGGAGAGCCTGCTAAGTCCCCTCTTCTGCATTCTCACAGGAACCCAGTTTCTCTTGGAAAAGAGAGAGCCTTCCTAACAATGTGTTTGGCATCTCCCCAGAGCAAGCATTTGCTAATGAGTTAGCTTTGGATAGCAGGTTGTTAGGTCTCCTATGACGCATTTGTACATTAATACCTTTAAACAAGTGCGTTATCTCACTTTTTTGTAAGTATGTAACGTCGCCAACACCGGTGTAACCTCGGAAGGTATTTAAGGGAAAGTTGTTTAAACCAGTACAGAGAAGTTGAGCGAACAGCAGAGCCTTAAAAAGCTCTTTTGAATCTTAGAATCAAGTGAAATGTGATGCAGCTTGAGGGTTGCTATTATCCCCTAGGTAATGGAGCAAAACATGCAGGTCCAGTTCACTTAGCAAGTGTATGTGAGACAGTATCTGAGCTGTGGATATCAAAGCTCTGGGGAGTAATCTCTGCCATTTAAATTACAGATAGCTTGTAAACTGGAAGGAGTTTCTGGTAGAGTTGGATGGTGCTGATGTATGGGTCAGTTACACATTTGATTTAATAGTAATGTTGTTTATTGATGATGTTTTCTCATTATCTGTTCATCTGGACCTAGGCATATTTGAAAGTGTAATGGGTGCATTTCATAAATAAACCCTGTAACTTTAAAGAGAGATTTAACAAAGAAGTATTTTTGTGCATAGTTAATTATTGTGCATGCTTTAAGTGGCAAGAAGAAGATGTTCAGATGGATGCGTATTCCTCATGAACTGAAATGAGAGAACCAAAATGCAGAAGATTGTATGTTAGAAAACTGGTCAGTGATCAGCTTATGTTTGTCTTTCAGGAATACTCTCTGTTCCAGTCACAACTGTTGTTGCACTACTCCATGTCCATGGGTGAGCAGGAAGTGAAGCAAATCTAGAGAGGAACTTCACATACCCTTTCATGAGCATCAAAAAACAGGTTAAACTTGTCAATGATCAGTCTCATCATTTAACTGCCACTTAAATCCTGGACTAATTATGGGCGGAGATCTTGTATGCTAAACATCACTATTTAGGGGATTGCTCTGTGTTCCAATGGCAACAAAGGTTGTTGCTCATGAGCACAACATAATTAATGTATGCTCTCTCACGTGTTTTTCCTCAACCTTGGTGTCATGTTGAAGGAGAATTATGAAAGAGGAAGAAAAAGTCCTTTATCTCAAACCTCTGTTTCTGTTGGGAAAGAGGATCTTTCTGGTACAGTGCCAAATGAATGAATTTGCTCAAAACACATTTTGTGGTCAATGATTGCGATATACTTAATGGAGCTGAAGTTGTTTATTCAGAATACACTCTTTTCATGTGAAGAATGTTGGATGTACTTGAAAATTACAGAGAATTAAAAATCGTAGTTTGGGTCAGTCTTGAGTTGTTTTGAATAGTCTTAGGAGAACTGGAAATAGAACAGTCAAAGCATGTGTGTCAAGTAACAACATTATAAATAATGTCACAATAAATACAGGCTTGCACTCAAGTTTTACTGTGCATCTTATAAATTAAGCTCTTGCAAGCTGTTTCTTAATGATAATTAGTTTACCTCCTTGAAGGAGTCACTGCTAAAATAATCTTTATATTGTATATATTCTTTATCTCTGAGGCATAGTTGACTTGTTTTGATAATTGATGATATCAGAATAAATGTTGTTTCAGGACAAATATTAAAGTCATTAATAAGGTGTAGACTTTGAGAGGCCCTTCCATGCTCATTTGTTTTCCTATGCATTGTACTGTGGTAGAAAAAGGGTGATGAAGTGAAAATCCATCTTTTGAAATGCAGAGAAGAGAAAGTAAGTCCCTGTCCTGAGCTGAGACAAGCCTCTTTAACAGCAGTTTAAAAGGAAGTATTTGAA